CAATTTCGTTGAAAAAAAGGAAGAGTATATGATAAAACTCAATTGAAGAATAAATATGATCAACCAAAAAAGAATTGAAAAATGTGGAATAAATTAAAGCGAGAAGCTACTGAATTAGATTGGATCCAGTTAAGAAAATAATGGATACGTCCGAAGAATGGTAGAGAGAGAAGCTTCTGGTAAGTAAATAATCTTATCATAATAAATTTTCCACAATTTTCAAATTATTCCAACAATACTCTTTTCAAATATAGGTTATGCGCAACTAAAAAAAAAAAAGATATTATGGCATAGACTCTGATCTAGCGCAACTCAAAAAAAAAAGATATTATGGCATAGACTCTGATCTAGAAGTTAAGCTTGATTAGATGTTCATCAATATTGTAGTTACTCGCTCAATTGTTTGGGCTACAACACAGAACATTCCTCGGAATTTGGATGATACAAAATGCTCATTCAAATGAAGTTAATGAGGAATTGTCCCACAAGGTGGAACACGTTGAATCTAGTCAATCCAAATGCAATGCACCACAAAGCCAACAACCTAAAATAGAACGTTGACACCGCATTTTTAACCAAACAAGTTTCACAATTAGTTACTACGTGTATTAATATGACGTCCAGTGCTCGCATAAGACACACATACCATTCAATGAAAAAAGCATCAAGTTACTGCACTAGACTCCAAAAAATTTTTAGGACGCATCATTATGTTTATTTTTCAGAAAACTTCTGAAGGGCCCAACGAAGCAGGAGTCTTTTATAACAATGGTGTCAGAGCAGAGGAATTATTACATTTGATATTTCTTTAATAATTGCTCTAGTTGAACTTTGTGTAATAATTTGTGGTTTGATTATGTTTGTATTCAATTGAACATCTACTTAAATTATCTATAATTGTTTGTTTATGGCACTTATGCCCAATTCATTTTGATTATACTTATGAAGTTGTTTTTCTATTACATCGCAATAGTTCAATTCAGTTCCAAATAACCTTCTCTCATAATTAGTTGTCATTTTTTTGTCTAATTCATGATTTATTTATCGTGTTTGACATGCATTAAGTATTATGATAGATCCATCAAATGAAGATGAAATAATAAAGGTTCAGTGTACAACAATTTTGGTAACTACACTATGTCAGATCAATGAATACTACCACACCTGTGTAAGACCCCCATGGATGACTTTCTCCTTAGAGGTATCAAATGGATTGGTGAGCTTCAAGGTCATCCACATAGAATTCATAAAATGTTTTGAGTGTTCGAAACAATTTTCTGTTATCTGTTGGATGAATTGCAAAATCTTTATGGTTTGCATGAATCGTCTAGAATTACCTTTAGGGAAGTATTAGGCATTACTTTATATATAATGTCACATATTGAGCCAATGTGTGTTACTTCCAAACGATTTCAACACTTACCGAGACTATTGACAAATATTTCGATATTGGTCTCAATTCATTGGTAAGATTGTCATCAAACATTGTCAAATCAATAGATCTCAGTTTTGGCCATACACCAAGAAAAATATGTAATGCTATCAAATACATCTCGTCCTTTAGGATAGTCACTAATTTTTTTTTTTTTTTTATATCAAATACATGTCGTCCTTTAAGATAGTCATTAAATTTTTTTTTTTTGCTTCACAGAAGTGCTTTATTAAAAATTAACTGTCAGAATAAAAATATATGATAAAACTATATAGGAGTCATTGATGACACACATATTGATGCATATGTTAGTAAGAATGATAAAATCACATATCTCGAATGTTGTGGAACCCCAACACATAATATAATAGAAGTATGTGACTTCAACATATGTTTTATCTTCTTATTGGTAGGATGAGAAGGTAGTACTCATGATAGTCATATATTCAAATTTATAGCTCGAAGACCTGAATACAAATTCCCAATGCCACATTTCGGCTAGTACAATAATCAAATTAATTTACATTAAATTTGATTATTTGTCCTAATATTGCTTCAACACAAGGAAAAATCATTTCATCGATGCTAGATATCCCATGTAATAAGATTTTTTGAAGCCCTTTCTCGATACGAAGTACCACATTCTCAATTTCGAATGCAACAGCAAAATGATTGGAGGTATAAATGAATTATTTAACAAGCAACACTCATAACTATGGGTGTAATTGAGAGAGCATTCGGTGTATGAAAGAAAAAATGGATCATTCTCCAAGATATGACAACATAATTCCTTAAAAAGTAAGTAGAAATAATTGCAACAAAGATAGCTTTACATAATTTTATAGGCAGACATCTATCTCGAGAAAATGTAAAATCAGGGTCTTATATGAGGATCTTATGTGCATACTTGTTGAAGCATTCAAACATTGTACAAGCCAATCAATGCTAGAAGAATTTTGGGATTTAATGATTTTGAGACACCCGATGGAATAGGTATTCAGTAGATGATTTAATTGAGGGAACAAAGCACGTATGCTTCAATGAAAGCATCGAATATCTATAAGTGATCAATTGAGGGAATAAATCATAGATAAAAGTAAACTTTTGGAGTGTCTTTTAGGATGTATTCTAATTTTTGCTAAGTTGGATAAAAAATATTTAGTGTTGTATTTCAAATTTAATTCATGATATTTTTCTTTTTTTATTTTATTGAACTATGAACAAGTGTGCTGTGAAAATATTTGTATGAACATGCTGAGAATGCTCCCACTTGGATGGCCTACCTTGCAATTGTGGGTATGGCTTTTTTACTTTTCTTACATTGTTATTAAAATGTTTAGTTTGCTCCCACCTGGATGGTCTTCTGGGCAACCTTGAGTTTATTCTTTTTTTAAGAGGTCTATGATGAGTCATATGACCAAAGAGGTTCTTCTGAATGACATTACTACAACTAAGCTTTATGATATGTGCAATTTTGGTATTAAAAGCTTTAAGGCAATCAAGATCTCCTTCTTTATGGGTCCATTGCCTTGTTATGATAGCAGATTCTTCCTCTCTTTACATTGACTCAAATCTCAAATTATTTTTGTAATAATAACATTATTCTTGATTTACAGTTAATGTATTTTTTTCTTCTACTTCCTCATTTTAACATCAATCTAAGCTTAAAACATGCATTATTAAGAAATAGGAGTTCAAAAAATTCCATTGGCTTTAGAATTGTGTACTGCTACTGTGGTATGCGATGCTTGTATACAAGTTGAGACAAGAAGTTGTTTATGAAAGAAGATTTTATATGTATCTCGAAAACAGACCACTTGATAAATGTGACATTTTAAAATGGTTTGACAACTGCGAGGAGTTCACTTCAAATAGTGACAATGTGTGACGAGTAAATTTGAAAAGAAAATTCACCAAGAGGCATGATTGTTTGGACATGAAAACTAATATTATAAGCATATTACTTGTTATTTTAATTTTTTATGTTATTTATAATTGTTAAGTGATGTATATATTTTCAACTTATGAATTTTTGTAATAATTTGAAATTTAATTCAGGTGTTCTGTTCAAACTATTTCTGAAACTTTGTACTTACAGCTACAATCTATAAAGGCATTATAGTTTTTATTTTAGAAATGGTTGCAGCATAACAGTTCCATAGCTGAACTATCCAAACATGCTGCAAGAGCTTCTTTTGGAAGTAGCTTCACAATTGCTTCTTTAAACGGATGCAGCTGTCTCAAACAAACCCTAAGTAAATACATTTTTTCCTCCGATTCAAGTTAAATATAAATTTACTAAGTCCAAAGGACGGTGAATTTTTGGGTTTATGGATTTACTAAATCCTACTTGTAGCCAAATAGCCCCTAACTTAGAATCTATTTGGCGTGGAAAGGTGGTTATAAAACTATTGTGGAGAAATCAACTTCTTAGAAAGATGAACTATTGTATATATAAACAGTGTCCTTACAACTACTGCATTTTAACAGGTCTGATTGAAAAGAATAGCTTCCCAACACATAAATTTTTAAGAAACAACGAAAAAACTGTTCACCAAATGAAGCTATGGCAGCCAAACAACCTCTAACTTAGGATCTATTTGGGGTGGAAAGATGGTTATAAAGATGAGGTGAAGAAATCAATTTCTTAGAAAGAAGCAGTGGAAATTATAAATAAATAAATATATATATGAATATAAGATACAGAAATGTTGTATGAGAGAGCCTGAAAGAAAGCCCAATTCAGAAAATACAACACACACAAATCTCAAATAAAACAAAGATACATATAGGTAAAAAATCAAAAAACCACCAAAAGGGCGCAAAAGTACTAGGGACGTCTCACTTTGGTCCCCCCTCTGTCTCTAGTTCTCGGAAGAGACCCGGCTAACAAATTAGTAAGGTAAGTACCATTGCCCGAAGTAACCAAAGTATCATCCATCAGATTCCTGAGCTCAAGTAGATCTTCATTCTTCTTCTTCCTCCTGGATGTGTAGACCTGTCATTCCTCATATGATGCTTGACTCATATGATTAATAGATTGTTCCAAAGTTGGTCGGACAGGTGTAGCTTGTTGCACATCATGATCCTCATGAGCTTGAGTCACATTAAAAGCTTGCTCGACCTAATGAGACTGTAGTGAAGCAGTAGAAGTATTGCCACCTGTAAAATCGGTGATAGGTTCTAGGGCAGGTGGGGTCTGAAGGATCTCCCTCTCCCCCACGATAAGAGGTTTCAAAGGTTGGGTTGAAAAAAATAGCTTCTCACCACGAGAAATTTATAGAAAACAAAAAAAAGGTAGTTCACCAAACGGAGCTGTGGTAGCGATCTTAAATGCAAGACAGTCAGAAAGCTATCCGATACAGACCCTTAATATTTTGATAAGTCAAGTTTTAGCCCTGTTATTAATGCTTAATCAGAGTTTTTTAAATCTATCATTCAAAAAATTTAACAGATGAATCAATTTCTCTTCTCAAAAATCTTAAATCCTAAAACAAACAGTCAAACAGATTATCAAGATGTGCAGCAGAATTTAAAAGCTATCATGTTAAAGAGTGATTGAAATCACCTCAGGATTTACCAAATCAAGATTTGCAGGACTTCGCTAAATCCTACTGATGATCCTCCTGATGACTGCTGGCTAAAAACAGTTAGCAAGAACCCGAGATCCACGAACAGATCCAAAGCATGATAGAGAATAATAAAAAAAAAAGACAAAAAACTGCCAGCAAATAAGCTCCAACGCCTGCCAAATGGAATCTCCGCAGCCGAAGAAGGATAAAGACGATAATTGACCCATTGAAGGCCAAAAGATCAAAAAAAAGAAGGAGATGGGAGAAACGAGAAAGAGAAAAGGAAGAACGGAATTGAAATTTCTTACCTCAAAACTCTCTCCTTTCTGATGAATAAAAATCACGGAATCGGTTAAGGGTCAATGGATGAGCGTAGCTACCAAGCGCAAGAGCATGGCGGCGGATGCAGAAGCGTGCACACGAGATGGCCACCACCTGACCAAGCCCTGGCTAGTGGCTGTGGTGACCTTAAGAGAGAGGTGACAGCAATGTTTTTGAAATTTCATTGATTGTTTCAGTTGAATTGATTAATTCAAATAAATAATTCATATCAAAACTCATATTATTTTTATATTATACATTTACATATTAAAATACTATGATTAAGTGCTTATTTAAGATACATTTTTTTGCTTTTTTATGTGTACTAATTATTTCATGGGGGGGGCATTTGCATACTTACAACCCAATTCAAGTGTTTTTACATATCTACCTCCTAAACTTTGTTTTGACATTTATCCCACCCAAATCTTTTATCACATTTAAAATATCACTATTTTAATCTTTAAATGTGAAATAATCTTTTCACGCAGAGGCAAGGTGGCATTATATAAAAATTTAAGTTTAGGTGTTAGATATCCAAATACATAAGATTTGAGTATTATGCATGTAAATCTTCCTTGTTTTATTTACATTTTAATATGAAATAAAAATATATTTCATATCTTAAATATAATGTTTTTTTTTTCTTAGAGATTGGGTGTGGCATCTTAGCGATCACGGGGCAGTTTGGTGTGGCTAAAAGTGAAGTTGAGTTTGTTTAAGTGATGTGTGGAGGCATTAAGTTGGTTGGTTAGGTGCACACAACACAAGATTGGCTAGTGGTAGGCACTACTTTGGTTAGGTACATGGGAGTTGGTCAGTAGAAATCATGAGATTAGATAGTTTGTGGGGTCTCTACCGAAACTGTTAGTGAAATCACTTTAAGCCATGTCAAATTAATTTATTACAGCAAATAATAGATCATGAATATGACCAATATAATTAACACATTAGCGATAAAAAATAGTGTAACCACATTTGGATACGCCAAACTTGGAGTTAGTATAGAAAGATTCCATGTACCTAACACCAAGGTACTTATATATATGATTTACAATGTTATGGTTTGTTGAGGCTATGAGGACTTGATGTGTTTAATTATGTCTCATTTTGGGCCAATATTGACATGCTTAGTTTATAGTGCACTTATTTTATTTTATCCCTCTTCTTTCTAAGAGATCAAAGTCATAATAGTAAAACAAGCATCACTACATGGTGTTTATCATCAAAGATGAATAAGAGTGTTCACTTTCTAGCTTAATATGCACAAAATGGCTCACAAAAGAGTCTTTCATATTCAAGATACTCGATGAAGATTTTCTCCAATTGTTAGCTTTATCAATTTAGTAACCTATTGGAGTGGACTAAAAAATATAACTTTTTAAAGATGAAAATTTTGTGAAATATGTTTTTTTTGGTCTAAATCAAGCCCCAAAAAATGTTTTGCATTATAGCTAATAAATTCATTTACTTAGGTAGCTTTACAACCCTTTAATTTTATGAAACTAAAATAAACTCGACAATTTCCTAATTAATGCTAACTTGATTGATAGTAAGCCTTGAATCTCTAAAAATTTTGATCCTTTGAATCATTATCTGTATAACTAAATTTAAGCCCATGATCAAAGCTTTGTACTCTACTTTGTTGTTAGTATCTATGATGCATAATAATAATAAATTATTTTAATGTTCTCATGTTTTTTTTTTATAACTAGTGTAAGAAGATTATAATAATTTATGATATATGAATTTTTCATCACAATTACATGAATTTTGGGGAAAATATTATATTTGTATTGTGACATGGTAATGGTATCAACCATGAGAAAATTGAAAATGGCATCTAATAAATCAAGTGTTATGGAGATACTTAAGTTAGAGGAGGAGAGTTCCATATCAAGGGTTAGGCAGTTACCAATTAATTTGGAGTTACAAAATATGGAGGAAGGAGCTTCAAATCAAAGCTAAGAACTTTGAAAAGAAATTGGGGGTTATAAATATTGTAGCATAGGAATTACATTCTATCTTCACTATAAAAATCTATCATGATGTAATCAATCTCATATAAATTTTCCCATTAAATTTTTAAAATTCATAATTTAAACATAATAATTTTTACAAATGGCATGACGATACAACAATATGGGCCTCTTTCCCCGATATTTGGAGTAGTTTGGTGGCTATTCCTAAGATTTTGCTTGGGAACTTCCATTTGTAACCTTGGTGGGTTCACGTTAACTATAATTGTATATATTTTATTTAATTTACATGAATGAGATGAATATCACTACCTTTTTTTCTTGCATGAACTTGGCTCTGCTTCACTCCTAAATGTGTTCAAGAACATTCCTAAGTATAAACACCACCTTACTTATTATTTGGTGTCATTGCAAAAGAAGATTCATTTGTGTCCATGTGAAAATGAGTTTGATGATTTATTTTTTATAATTTAGGACTTTATTGTGTTTTTCAAACTTATCTATTTTGTTTTCTCATTAGCTTTTTTTTCTATATGTGTATCCCTTGGCCTTCCTTCCGTAATTAAAAGTAAAATATTTATTTTTGATCACCCTATCAAGAAGTTAAGAGCTTGTTGACCACGTGTGTTGCTCATGGTTTGGTAACATGGATTAAAAATTTTTTTGAAGATTAATTATATTAGATTTTTTAGTGAAGATATGTTTATATTAACTTAGGTAGAAAATCTGCTTCATGATATCTTTTTTTAATATCTTATTTTCAATAATCACTTAGGTTTCATTAAGGAAAGCAATTTTATACTATCCATGGTCAATTTTTAAAATTATGATAATGAATATCATAGCCAAGTTTATACTTATGATAAGCCCTATTTTGGTTTAGAGGGCCTAATGGAAACCTATCTGATTAGGTTATGTGTTATAATTTATGCTTTAATTAGTTGAATTGAGTTTAATTTTTATTTATGTTCCCTTTGATTTGGTTTAGATTTGATTTAATTTGTTTAGAGTGAGTTTAACCCAACATCCACTTAACAGTTCATGTTTTACTTAACTACAATGAGTGGCCTGATTTCATTTTGATTGGCTAGATTTTTGGGTTCAATAGTTAGGATAAGTACTTTAAGACACTTAAATGAATTCAATTCATCCAAATTAGTTAATTTAGTTCAAATTTTCAAAAGGGTAAAAGGGTTCAATAGTTTGATAGGTCAAAGTAAGTCAACCTTAGGTTTTGGAGACTTTAAATTCAACCCAAGTATGATGGTAATGACCTATAACTTATTTATGTTCATTAGAAACCAAAATTTAGATTGAGTTTAATTGGTTTAGTGTCCACCTAATCACTTAAAAAGTCTGCTAAGGGTTCGATGAGAGAGCTCTTATATTAAGATTAGATTTAACACGACCCGCAATTATGCTGATATTTATACTTCAAAAGATTACCCAAAACTTGGCCCAAATTATATTTAACGGCTAGTGTGAACAAATAAAATGATTTAGAAAATAGAGAATAAGCCTTCATACTAGGGGTGCTACGCAAGTATATGTAACATTTCAAGTAATATAAGGTTTTCTTTAAAAACCACAGTATCAATCCTACAAAGAAAGGTGTAACTTTGTAATAATAACTTAGAAAACTTCTATTTAAATTGCAGAGAAAAATGATAGGAGAATGGTATCGCAATATTTGAAGAGGATTAAAATTAAGCTTATTTGCAATCTAAGTTTAAACAGAAAGTACAAACAAAGTTCAAAAGACTAATAAGTTTAAAAGAGTTGGAATATTATGAAAAGATATTTCCCCTTGCAAAGAGATCTTAATCAATGTAGGAATTAAATGATTAAAAATATAAAATGATGTGTTGTAACAAATAGGAATATATCTATTCTTTACTCCCTCTTAGTGCTAGCAAAGAACATTAACTAACCTTAATTTTGTTCCAACTTGTGAGTAGTGCTGAGTAGATTCTAAACTCTTACTTCTATATTACTCACTGTACCCTCTCTATAGGACCTACTAGGGACCCTTTGATCCAAACTCAAGATCAAATTGACAGAAGAATCTAGCCTGTCACCTTAAAAATATCAATTTTATGTCCATCAAGACTTATCTCTCTATCTATTTACACTTCCCCTCGGACGATTGAAAGGGCTCTTTTCAAACTTAAGTGTGGTACTCACATATTGCTGAAATCATAGCCCTCTCGGATCATTATGTTTCACAACAGATTTTACCATCACAAATGACCAGTTGTGAAGTCAATAAAGAATCGGTGAAAATATCATCACAATTTTATAAAATAAAAGGAAATCTTTAAATCAATCTCATCTCACTTGATTAATTCCCATATGCACGGAGAAAGAAAGGAAAACTACTCAGGATTCATGGAGATTAAACAAAAACACATGATTTGTATTGAAAGCCAAGTTTTAACAATAAAAACTCAAACACAAATACAAATTATTTATGTTATGTCTTCTCCCCACGTAATTTATGAAGTCTCCTTCGAGCAATCTCCAAACTATTCTTCTACAAACAAAGACTCACAAATATAAACTCCCACACCCACTAAAAACATTTGAAACTCTCTAAAAAGACTCTCAAACACTCTCTAAAGACTCTCCAAAACTCTTTTTTTGTTCAACAATTGACCCTTTTAATAGAAAATTGAAATTAACCAAGGGTCACTTCAAGCATCCCTTCAAAATTTGGCTAAATTCTTTGAATATTCTAAAAGACCCGTTACTGGCACTATAGCACCAGTTTGGGATGTTATAGCGTCCATCACGGTCGTAAGTTGTTGCTATGGCGCCAAGGGTTGGCACTATGGCGCCATATGAAGTGTTGTCATTTTGCTCCATTTTACCCTCATTTTCTCTAAATATCCATTCCTTGTATTGGAAACCAAAAATATGCAAAATAACCTCCTTTAAAATGTAATATCATAAAAAATGTTCATAAAATGAACATTAAACATGTATTCAAAACAGGTAATTTTAAGGTGAATCACCTATATACCTATAGAAGAAACAACCCATGAAGCTTTTTATAACACGGTTATGGTTTTGGGGGGCATTTTAGAGTCTATAAAACAACTTGATTCAATATTAAAGATAAGAATGAAATGTGTCGACCTCATAAAAAAAGAGATCGACACTAATCTTCTCCCTC